ATATCCCTACTGCTATATTATTATTAGAGCATGGAATTACTATCCATAGAAATTCTATGGAGCAGTTTGGTCATTAAAGATTTTTACTTCATTTGATTCTACATTTTCTTTCACATATAGTACTACTCCCCCACCAGCACAATCTGTTCTGTCCCTTCACTTTATTTTGTACCCTGGTATAACTGTGTCCCATTGACTGTCCTCCTTCCATTAAGTTTCTCTGATGCATATTATATCAATATCTTTCTTTAATACGAGACACTCTAGTTCACCCATCTTATTAGACTTCTAGCATTTGTGTATAAGCTCTTTAAAAATTTGTTACTATTTATCTGTCTGCCATTTCTTCATGTGTTAGACTCTTTTTCATTTGATTCCTTCTCATCTGATTCTACCCATATTTTATCCTCTTCCATCCTCTCTTCCTTACAAGAAAATAGAGAATCTCTATTAATAAAACCTCACCTAAGAGATGTCTCTGTGCGATCCGTGTGTTCCCTGTCAGCTTTCCCCCAGCCCTTAACATTAAAAAGGTTGTAGAGCAGTTTTTAAACTAAGTGCCAGCAATCTGGTTCTATTTTGGTTTAGGTGGAGCCCATCAGTCTAGTATATATTAGCAGGAGTGATTTATGCAAAAAACAAGTAATTCTTCTACTCTACAAAGCAGCAATAAGCTTTAAGGGGAATATTGTGTCTACTTCTGGGCACAAAATTTCAGGAAAAATGTGGACAAAGTGGAGACAGAGAAGAACAAAACCGATTAAAGGTCTAGAAAACATGACCTATGAAGAAAAATTCAAAAACATTAGATTGGTTTAATTTAGAGAACACTGAGAGGTGATGGAATAGTCTTTAAGTATGTAAAAGTTTGTTTTAAAGAGGAGGAGGATAAATTCTTCTCTTAAGTCATTAATAGTATAGGACTAGTAATGAAGTTAAATTACAGCAAGGAAATTCACATTACATATTTGAGAAGGCTTCTTAACTGTAAGGGTAGTTAAGAACTGGAACAAATTCTCTAGGGAGACTGTTGTGTCTCAGCCACTGGAGGATTTTCAAGAACTTGTTAGACAAACACCAGGGGTATTGGGGTTAGGGAAGTTAAATTTAGATTAATTGGCAAATTGAATATTTGATGCAATCTGCTTCAACTATCTGATTAGTCAATAAGGGCGCCTCCGCCTTTGAAATGTAGCAATAGCACCAGGGCTGTTCCTATACTTCAAAGGCGAAAACACTGCAAAGAGCACGGGGCCAGCAGGGGACTCTGAGGCTCTTCATGGAGACCCTGGGCTCCACACACAACTGCTACTTTGAAATGACACATGAAGCCCAGGCTGGGAGTCCCCAGGTTGCACATGGCATTTCAAAGTGAGAGACCTGGGGCTCCATGCAGAACTGTCACTTTGAAACGCCGACTCCCCAGCTGGCCCCAGGCTGCATAAGGTGTTTCAAAGCGACAGCACTGTGCAGAGCCCAGGGTCTGGCCCCAGGCTCCATCTGGTTCTGCCGCTTTGAAGCAACCCCTTGTCTTTCCCCGGCTTACTGCCTCTTTCTGATAGAGGCAACAAAGACTGGAGAAGCGACTAGTCGTTCACATCCCTAATTGGAATGCCTAGGTAATGCTTATTCCTTCCTCTATGCAGGGAACTGGACCAGGCCTACATTTCTATGTTTCTACTCAACTCTAAAGGACCATTTTGTAAGGATAATTTATTTTAAATATCTTTAAATTTCCCCCTTTCCCCATGAACCCAAACAAGGATAAAAATAGAAACAAGACCTTGAAAAATAGTAATTAAAAGAAATCCTTGATTTTCTAGTTCCTGTTATTTTTACATTTGGAAAGGATGTTCTGCGAGTGATAAAAATGGTATTATAGGAAATAGAAGAAAATTATGAGCCAAATGGGACTGTGAGGGCGGGGGGAGGGGGGAGGAGAGAAAGAATAAAAACCATACTTCAAAATAAAAGTAGAAGAGAAAAGGAACAATATCAGAGGCAACTAATGAATAAGAACATAAATCCTACCACTAACAAAGCATCAAAGAATCTGAACAAGAAGACCTACTTGCAAAATTGGCAACAAGGGATGCAAGAGTGGCAGCAAGGATGGAGAAATAATAGCATTTAAGAGTGAAGAAAGGCAGTTAAGGCCTTTCCCCCTCGTACTTAAGGTAGTTATAAAAGGCTCCTATGTTCACCTACCCAAGTACTTTCTCTTAGTACTAAAACAGAAACAACCTGTGCATGTAATAACTATATGATTTGCCTGTAAGACTGACAATATTCACCAAAATGATGGATTAATTTTTAGAATTGCAATGACTACCACGAACTAATACATAAAATAAATTCAGAGTGAAAAGTGGATGCTGTCCAGTATTTTAGAGCTAACTGAGGAGACTAAGTAGTTGTATTTTTAAAACAATGGGCTAAAATTCACCATTGTGGTAAACAACTGTAACACAACTTCAGTCATTGAAGCTCTCCCAATGCATTGGCTTATACCAGTTGGGCTTTGACTATGCATTGGGTCTTGTGGGTTTTTATCTTGATCCTAGCAAATTCATATCGCTATTCATCATATATTCTATTCACATTCAAATTCCATATTGTTATTCAAATTCTCCCTGCCCATTCTATGAATAAATTTTTAACCATCAACAAACTGAAAATTCATGACAGCCTGGATGCCAGCTTTCTTGTATTAATAAACATAGCTCCAAATGTCTGCTGAAGAATTAAGATATTGCAAGTGACACTTGGAAAATGCTGCCAGAGGAGAGTGGAAACCAGTCAGGAAATGAATGCCTATTTTTGGGAAGCCAAACCTAAACTCATACTACACAAAAGCATTCAGTTAATGATTTTGGCTATGCTATTGTGCCTCTCCCCCATTGGGTTCCTAAATAGTGAGTGATTATTTCATGGATCTAATATAAGGAATGTTAGGAATAAGGTGTAGGATTTTATATGAGTACAGTAGAAATTCTCCTTAGAGAGCAAATCACTCTAAGGTGCCAGCATTTTCATTCTGTACTGTATACCAGGATTACCATATACTGCATTTGACAAAGTGTTTTGACCCATGAAAGCTTATGCCCAAATAAATTTGTTAGCCTTTAAGATGCCACAGGACTCCTTGTTAATAATAATTTTGCATTTTTACCATCTCCTCTTTTGCAGAAAGAGAAACAAATAAAGCAGCAATTGAAAACTAAAAGAAAGGAAGAATGAAAATGGACTGTCAAAACTGCAGACAATAGATGCCATCACAAAACTTGCATGTTAATATGACAACTACTTAATGTGTTGGTTATATGTCACTGAGTATGATTCTAGATAGTAGCAGCAAAAGTTTTATCTGACCCATAGTCTGGCAAAGTTCCCAATGAAGTCAATGGAAATGTTGTGGAAGAGTGATCATAAGAATTTTGCCTTAAGGGGGAGGGATAAGGGGAAAAGAGAACTGCAAGATCCAGGCGATTAACAAAAACAAGGTGACACCATTCATGAAGGATTTACTAAACTGCTCTATACACAAAACTCTTCTTTTGGCAAGTCATACATTTTGCCCAAAGTCACTGAGGTGCTTCTCTCTGAACACTATAGCTTGACTAACACACTATTGTTAACCTTTTCATTTATGATTAAAGTTCCAATCTCATTTCACATATCTATGCACATTAACCACTTACATGATGGTAAAGGATATATTCCTTAAATCCATATTATTTTTCTATTAGTCGGCTGTTTGGCATCAAAGAGTCTCACACAACCAGGTTCTTTGCCAAGTGCATTTTGTGTGTGTGTGTGTTTGGAGATCATATAAATGTTCAGAATGGGAATGTTTGTTTTCTTATAAAAGCCAGAAAAATAAAATGACATTTTACTGCCATTGTTTAATATTATGCTCCTAAAATGTAACTCAGCAACAAAACTGAAAATGTATTATTTATGTAATTGCTGTTCTGTCCATGTAAATCACCAGACTACGAAAGCAGTCACAGATTTTTATGGTGCAGTAGAGCATATTTAAAATTTCTGGAACACCTGGATGGTGATCACAGAGGTTGACAGCAGAATTAACATGGCAAATATGGCTGTGGAATAATCAGTACTTTGAGCAGAAGCCAGGGTACTTACTGAGCTATTTATTGCCAGATCCAACTAAACCTCAGGTCCCTGACTCTTCATAATTTAGAATTACCTTACCCAAAACATTCAGATTTCTAGTAGAATAAAAGCACAATTTTATATTTCCCTTAATTTAATCTTGATGCAATTTATACATAACATACCTACAACCCAACACATGCAGCACCCTCTGGAGTGGCCATCCCCTCGCTCATTAGTGCAGGTTGGGTGGGTCAAACCGTGGGTGGATTGCAACACAGAGCAAAGTGTCCTAGTCCACACAATATGAGCCCCAGGAGTTGCAACTGCAAGTTGAGTGACAGAAAAATAGCTAATGTAATTTTTTTCCTATTTGTCTATCTGTGACTTTTTTCACACCATGACAAACCTGCAGCTCTACTTGTAAGAAAACTGGCCCAGGTGCATTACTCTCAGGCTACGTCTACATTACAGGGTTTTTGCGCAAAAACCTGTGGAGCGTTCACACCTCAAGCATGTTTTTGCACAAGTAAATTTACAGTCAATCGACAGAACAGGCTTTTTGCAGTATAGGTATTCTTCTTTCTATGAGGAATAACTCCTTTTTGCACAAGAGCTCTTGTCCAAAAAAGTGTGTGTGTATGGGCAACAGGGGGGTTTTGCGCAAAAACAGGAAAAAGGAAAAAGCACAGGTATCCTGTTGGCCATTCTGTGGATAGCAATCAGTGCTTTCTTTCGAAAGAGCATCCATGCAATCTGGATGCTCTCTTACACAAAAGCGCATCGCTTTTTTGATGAGCTTTTGCAGTGTGGACGCTCTCTCACGCAAGTAGTTTTTGCGGAAGATCTCTTCTGTGAATAGCTTTTTGCACAAGAAGCCTGCAGTGTAGACAAGCCTGAAAGAATTGTTTGTCTACAAAACCAATCTGCCTTCAGGAGGCACAACTGGCCCTACTTCGGCTCAGCTGTAAGAAATATTCATGATGGAAAGACAGGTCCCAGTTGCTGTAGCCAATGTGTAAAGAGGGAGAAATAGTAACAAAGGAGGCAGAGAAGCTTGGGATTCATGGGAGCAGCAACTGTCTCCCAGACAAGCTAGCATCATGCTTCCTCCAAACACCTTGGCACCTCCTGGAGTACAAAGTAGAAAACCAGAAAACAAGGATTTTCTTTTGGACTATTTTATATATTGTCCCTTTCTGTCGATTCAATTTAAACCACTGGTGTATGGATCTAATGCAGTTTGTTTGCACCAGGACATTTTCCAATACAATATCCTTGGCTATAAACAATGTCCAGTTGTGGCATTCCTCACTGATAAAACAGCAAAAACAATTATGAAAACGGATCCCTTTTTAAACTAGGTACATGTTGGATGGATACGGATTTAAACCAAACCTTGGACCTAATTTTTTTCTCTCAATTTCAGATCCAGAGCCATTACCTTACATCTCTAACAATGAGAGAAGGAATTCCATAGCAGGTCTCTACGGACCCTGTTTGCATGTTACTAGACTTCTACCTAGTAAACAAAAAGGGACAGATTAAAAAAATGCCACCTCACCTATCACACACTATCCATGTTTCCCAGCTAGAATGTACCTCTCTCTGCTGCCTCCCTCTCCAAAAACTGTATCCACACCTGTCTGTCCTTAAAGGTGTTGATTTGGATCTTAGTCTATAATACTGGCCACCCCTTCAAATTCACTGACATTCAAGAAAAAAGACACCCAATGGATGACAGCTAGGCACTCCGCAACATTCATCATGTATTACAGGGCTTTCCTTTTACTTTCATTTTCTTAACAGTTAAGCCTCAGCTCCCTCTCCCACAGAGAGCAAGAGCATGACGCAGGGTACTTTTTCCTTACTGGTTTTCCAAGCTCTTAATTTTTGCACTTAGAGCAGACTACAGTTCTATGACCCATTTTTCATTTGCTCCTTTTTTGAGCTGGTAAATGGTGGTATGCACATAAGTTTGAAAACGTTTTTCATTTAAAATGTCCAGAAAACAGATGGCACCAAATTATAAATTAAAATAATTTGGTGTCCCTGACAGACCCAGAAGATGGGAGAAGAAGATTTATAAAGAATAAAGAATAAAATGTGAAAACGTGATGCAAATAAAATATCCCAGACACACGTATTGAATGTGTTAGCTTCTTGCAAGTACAAATGATTTCTCCTGGCTATATTGCTTATCATCAGTGGTCAGAATGTTACAGCTTTGCTCATTATTAAAATAAGTTAAGGTTATCATGATGCTTGTATGTGTGTTTTAAAGGTAAGTGTCCCCGGTACCGGAGAAAATGAGTTCATCTGTACTCAGAACAGCTAATTTTTACAGCAATGATGAATTTGTATATTGCTTTATGTTTCTATAATAATTAAATTTTCCTAGTATATCAAAACGTTTTATTTCTTAATCCTCTGTAATGATTAGCAGAGAATCTAATGTGGAATGAAATACCAGAATTTATGTTTGTATTGACAATTACTGAATCAAAGCAAGTCTGAAGAAAGGCACAAATCTATTTGTTCTTTTGTTAAAAGCAGTTTACATTGAATTTGTGTGAATTAAGATTCAAAGAGTTTTGAGAAGTTTCTATCTACTGTTTAATTTGCTGTTGTTTATTGTTCCTCTGACTTAGTTGAAGTTATCTGATTATGGATCTTAGAAGTTGGAATGCTACTCATTTCAGCCATGTTTTTTGCAGAATAGCTTTGTTTTGCACATAAGCTGAAGAGAAGACATCTGGGAAAAACACAAACATGAATAGTTGCTTATTGGTTTATACTCTGGTATGAAATTAGGGAAAACTGGCATTAAAAATCAAATGATAAAATCTAACGATAAAAGATAAAATGTATTGGAAGAGTGGGCTCACTTCTCGATGGGATTGAAGATATGGTACTTGTGCTCATTACCCCATCAAGGCTGAAGTGTTGCTCCAAGCTTTGCATTATAACGACATCCAGAAAGATAATGTTCCGTCTCCCCTGAGCCGCAGTAATAGTTTTGGAAATAATAGTTCAACATGGAAAATGGTTTTGTTGTCCTTAAATAAAATCTTTTATTGGAAGTTCTTCCTTGCAATATCCAACTTTAGAGGCACATAAGTAAAAATGAAACTATATATTCCAACATTTTTTAAATTATTTAAACCCCACATTTAAAATGGGTTATTTTCAAAAATCTTCTTCACTTTTATTGTATTTGTTGATTTACGCGTATTTCCACTCCGAAGTTCTACTTACTGCCTAAAGGCAGAACACAACACCTAATTCCAAATCACTACAACGAACAATGCTCTTTCCTTTTTCTAGTCTTCTTCTGTGCGAGGTAGTGTTTGTGGCTTGTCAGTGATGGCAAGTAAGAAAAAAATATGACAAATTAAAAGGGTGTACAGCTGCAATAATTATATTCCCATGATAATTATGAAGAGAAGTCTCAAACTAGAACAGGAAATATGAATGAGAAAACAAGTGACAACAGCAAAGGAGAAAGTGAAGTTCAAAAAAGAAGTGACAATATCTAAGGGATCAACTCAATTGTTTTGATTAACTGTATATTTGGTTCTTCAAGCAAAATAAGGTAGCTTAACTTTTATGTATTACTCCCATTTATCTTCAAATGTTTCACTGACAATTTAGTGCTGGCCCAAATATATAACAATGGAAAAATATGGGTGGGACTAATTTAATAATTTAAAAGAATAATATTTTGGTGTGAAATATTGGCCTCGGTGAACTCAGTGTTTGACCACTAACTTCGAGGGGGCCAGGATTTCACCATTTATATCTTGATTCTAATAAAGTGCTGTGCTTCTCCAGAACTATGCATTATATAGACAAGTATTGTAAAAACTAAGAACTTGGAAACTGAATTAATCCCATGGATATGCACATGAACATGAGAGAAAGAGGGAGAGAAATAACTCACTGGATACAAAAATTGATAATCCCATTGGTCTCCACTTGGGTAGAGGGATCTGTGTGAACAACAGATTCTGGAGCAAAACCCAGGCCTAAAAGATTATCATGAGAGTCTAGAGATCAGAAAAAAAGCTGATAGAAACAATAAGAAGTGATACATACTGGCACTAAAATTTCAGCGACCATATATACAAGTCAGATGACTTAAGACAACAGATGGTATAAAGTTTCATGTTATTTTGGAAAATGTTTTTTTTGTTTGATTTACTCATTTCAGGCATCTTTAGAACCAAAAGGTAATTTGTTTTCATCTAAGTGTAAAATACCATCTTTTTCAACTTGAGGATTCCAGAGGCTAAGCAATAGCTGATGTTCAATTAACATTCTCATTATACATTCTATAGACATTGTAATGGTATTGTGATAAGATGACAGTATTTGCCTATATAATCAAATAAGCACAGGCAAATGCTGTAATCTGGGGTCTTGGTTTATGACTGGGTCCCCAATCACTATGAAAACAGAAATGATAATAGTTATCCACAGGTGATGTTCCTAATGGAAAAAGATTAAGAATTTGCTGATGTCCAACCTGGTTATTAAGGAGATAGGAATTGCTCGGGGGAGAAGGGGAAAGGGAAGGGGGAAGAGAAACGGGATCCAAGTTATGGTAAATCCAGACAGCCCTAGGTCAGGAAACTGAGGAGCAGCCAAGCTTGTGGTGAAGGTTCAAGTTGAACTTTGTTACCTTATTGTTGATTTCTTTGGTTAAAAAGGCCATACTCCAGGAAAAGGCATAAACTGGAATTTACCTAGTGTACTGTCCTTTTTTAGCGTGGTTACAAAAAGTCACCTGCTCTCTACATAGGCAAATACATTTCTATATTATCACTTAAACTTAACTATAGCCATTGAATACAGTTTATGGTTTGTTCATCTGCTTTAGTTGCACAATTCAACAATGATTCCACAGACGTCCACACAAGTGGAAGTATATGGCCAGTTATATCCTTAAAATACTAGTGGATAAATTCTGATCTTTCTTATGCCCAGGGAAATCCACTACATAATAATGTAGCTAGAATTTGGCCTGAAGATTACAATCCATTATTTATACAAGAAAATGCATATTTACTTAATACATCATGCATTTAAAGGAGTTGCTCTTTGGTTCCCTAATGATGGATAGCTATTACTACTGCAAAAACTATCCAAAATAATAGTTCATTTTCATAAGGCTATGGACTTTTAAAAAATGTTCTCTAATTTCAGAGATTCACTGGTCAATGGACTAATACTTCTTAATTATATAGTTGTACACAAACATTTTATTTTAGACAGTGAATAACTTGATAATTTACTGGTAAATTTGATAATGCAGATACTGTCAATTTAAAAAATTTTTTTATAATCCAAAGCTTATGAAACAGTAGTATTTTGACAAGTTAGGTAAACATGGGAAGTACTGGTAAAATGAAGCTCATTTTATATTCATTAATATTTAATAAAATCCGTAAGTGCAGAGTGTCCAGATGCTGTTTTTAATTTAATAATTTTGTAACCAATGAGATGCTGATTGGTTTGTATACTGAGCCGGCAGTACATGGAGAATTCCACGGGGCCTTTAAAAAAAGAAAAGAAATGAAATGAAATCTTAAAAATTAAAAAGATGAATGCATTGATAACAAATAAAATAAACCAAAAATGTTCATTACGGCTCTGCAGATACTTACCATGTTAACAATAAGCATACTTTCAAGCCAGCAATAAACAAAATAACATACAAATCCCTACAAGTATTACTGCTCATCCTGATAATTTTAAGAGGCATTACAATTAAGTCAAGCATAATTAGGGAAGCTAACGTGTTGGATTTATACTAGAAAGAGGTCAGAAGAATGAACTGAATAAATCCTTTTAACCTATCCCTAATTCTGAAGTTTCAAGTGTAGGGGATTGTTACATTTAACTCGCATGCCACATGATGATATTCTTGGAAGCTGAAATGGGACTCTATTGGATAGTAGGTAGTTCTCTAATTTTTTCCCCAATACATATTCAACCTCTATAGCAGTGTTTCTTAAACTGTGAGGCAGTCGGAGGTGTGCCATGGAGAACAACAGAGTTCAAAATGGCCACCCTTAAAGGGGCAGGCGACTTTTTTTTTCCACAATAACTTTCCCCCTGACTCCCTTTTTTTTGGTGAATAACTTTTTCCCAGCCTCTTTTTTTTTCTTTTTCTCAACAAAAATTCCTTGGTGTTTCTTTGTTTGGTGTTCCTCAGTCTTAAAAAGTTTAAGAATACAGCTCTATAGTCTGAACTTCCATAGGCTGGCAACATCTACGTTCTGACATCCCCAGTCAAGAATACTCATGGAGAAAAGCCAGGCCCTGTGCTCAGCAACTCTTCCCTCAAGAAAGTATGGTGTGCCACAAGTAGCTCATTTGTAGTGCTATAGCTCTAGGGGGCGGGGAGATGGACACTTGAGGAAGAGGCAGGGTGGCTGTTGAGCCCTGAAGGGCTGTGCTCCTGGCTCTGCAGCTACCCTGCCTCTTCCCAAGTCTGCATCCCCAGTCCTTGGTTGGCAGGCAGTGGCAGCAGAGGGGTTGGCACTGATCAAGCAGGGGATGAGACAGGGTGGCTGAGAAGCCCCGTGGCTGGAGGCCAGGAGCGCAACCCCACAGCTGGCAGCAGGGGCTGGGAGTGCAGCCCAGTAGTGCACTCCTGCAGAGCTGCACTCTTGGACTCCAGCAGTGGGATGCAGCAGCCACCCAACCTCTTCCTCTAAATGCCCTCCTCCCCATTTCCTGCTTGGTCAATGCCAGCCTCTCTACTAGGTGTTAGCCACACTTGTGAGCTGCAGAGTTCCTCTGTCTCCCATTGGCACTTTACTAAAGAACATCCAGCATCATGATGGAGACCCTAATATAAAAACCACAAACTAGATAACGAGCGCTCAATTGAGCATCTCCCTTAAAGAGATGTTATCAAATACATTTTCTTAAAATGAGTGTGTATTTGCTTGTAATGCCCTGATAGAAATCTGAAATAAACCTCACTTTAGTGACTTCTTTTCACCTTCTATATTTCGCAAATGTCAATCTATGTAATGGAACAATACTCCCAGGTAGTTTCGCTTCATGATTTTTCCCATTTCTTTTTTTAAAAGTTTATCACTAAGTATATCTTCTGCACAATGCCAGGAAAAAGGTGGATACGTTATGACCCTTTGGCATATAGATGGCTTGGTATCAACAGCACAATAAGTATTAGAACCCAAAATTCATAATGTGTCCTGATTTTCATTCTCACTTTAAAATGTGTTTGAGTGACAGAAGGGGAATTCTAAAAATGTTTTAAATGCAGAGGCCACACGATTAGTACTAAATTATGCCTAGTTAATTTTTTTTTCTAAACTAGTTGGCAAATCTGTTTATAAGAGATTAAAATGCACTTACAATACATTGAAAATATAGTTCAATTGCAGACTTCATATAAAACGTTCTAAAATAGCAAGTCTCAAACAAAAATAAAAAGGATTTGAAGAAAAAAACTTTACTCAGAAGATGAAGATTTCCAAACAGGTGCTCAGCACAAGCGGAAGCGTGACCTCCAATCATGGAGAGTTGCAAGGAGCAGAAAGAGAGATGGCCAGTGCAGGTAGAGTATTGTCTGCAATAACAAGTTCTGCAGGATGAAGAAGTAAGAAATACTGTAACTTTTTAAAGAGCCTCCATGTAAAAATTGCAGAACCTAGGAGTGATGAACTGTGCAGTACTTTATATACTATTGTACTTTAGTACCTTAGAATTGTGATACCTGTGAAATCCACAGGGCAAAGAGGAAAGTAAGATGGAAAAGGAAGGCAACAGGATGTTTTGAAAATCATGAAGGAAATTTTATAGTCAAATTTTTATAAGAGTTCCTTAGATATAATAAAGCACAATAGGAGAAAAATACATTTAAAATATGAAGAAACAGCATAGTTGTATCATACATCTGTTCCTTTTATTGATCTGTAAAAAAATTCATGGTTATCAATCAACACCAAGAAATATGTTACGAAAAAAGTGTTGTAACTCTGCCATTATTTACAGAAAAAGACAGAAGCCAGCTTCCGAAAATCGGGTAGAAACAAAATATTGCTGCTAGCATTAACTCAGCGTTGCTAGAAAAGGTAAAATTAGCCTCCTTAGTTGTGATTTTATCTTCTGTAAAGGTGCATCTACACAATAGGGCTTAACTTGAAATAAGCTACACAATTGAGTAGCTTATTTCGAAATATCTTATTTTGAAATTGGGAGCGTCTATGCAGCACTTATTTAAAAATAGAGCACTCTTCTTCTGACTTCCCTTACTCCTCATAACATGAGGGTTACAGGAGTCGGAGTAAGAAGTCCTCCAGCTTGACAGTATTTCAACATTATTTCAAAATGACTGCCTGCTGTGTAGATGTGGACTAAGTTATTTCAGAATAATGCTAGTTATTTTGAAATAATGTTGCTGTGTAGACGTACCCTAAGTGGGTACACAACACTCTAACAGTCCAATGGTTGTGGGTTATCAGTATGGATTGAATTCAGGGGAGGCAATCCGTTTGGTAAAAGCAAAAAAGTTCCACATTCAGTTCCTCCTGAAAACCCCTTTGGGGACATTGCCAGGTGGTAATTGATATGGAGATTTTAACACTTGCATACATTAAATACTCGAGATGGGCTTCCTCTGACAAGCGTAACACTCTGGATAGGTGAACCGTGTCTCCTCCAGTGGACAGGGCACAGCAATGAGACCACTAATCTAGTTACTCCTTCAGTTAAAGCTGATATAAATCTGTGTTTTTAGTGCTTAAAGTTTCAGTTTTATCACCAACAGGGTCAGTATACACACACACACACACACACACACACACACACACACACACACACACACACACGTATATCCTTCTGCCTCCTTCCCATTCAGAGTAAAATATATACAGAGATAAAAATCTTCTCTTAGGATCAAAAATAGCACAAGACAAAAAAAAAACCCAACAACCCTCAACTGCTGAAAATAACAAGTTTCACTACAATAGTGAAACTATCATACATCTACATGCTTTATATGGAAAAGTACAAACAGAGGTGCACTGTCATATATCGGGGCACAATCTAGACTAATAGGATGCTATATCACTCATGTTCTACAACCATGACTCCCTTACAATGATTTGCCAGGTAATTCCCACAAACTCCTGTACAGTCTGCAAGCCACATCTTGATAATACTTATCCAGTATAAAGGACAGAATACCCCTAATTTCTCCATTCAACCCAGTACCGTAAGATATTGCTTGCACAAATGTAGTTAGACCTAACTCAGAAGAACATGAAAGAACTGCCATACAGGCTCAAACCAACAGTCCATCTAGCCCACTATCCTGTTTTCTGACAGTGGCCAAAGCTAGATGCTTCAGAAGGAATGAGCAGAACATGGCAATTATCATATGATTCACCCAGTCAATCACTCCCAGGTCCTGGAAGCTAGAGGCTCAGGATAGCCAGAGCATGGGATTGCATCACTGATCATCTTGGCTAATAGCCATTGATGGACCCATCACCCATGAATTTATCCAATTCTTTTTAAATCCAGTTATACTTTTGGCCTTAACATAATCCCCTCGCAATGAGTTCCACTGGTTATCTGTGCATAATGTGAAGAAATACTTCCTTTTGTTTTTTTGTTTTTAAACCTGCTGTGCCTATTATTTTCATAGGATGATATCTGGTTCTGGCATGTGTCCTAACTCACTTTCTCCATACCATTCAGGATTTTACCATATCCCTCACCCTTAGCCAATACTCTCCCAAACTGAAAACCCCAGTTTTTTTAATTTATTCACATATGGAAGCTATTCCTTAACCCTAATTGGTTTTTTTTTTTTTTGCCATTTTCTGTCCCTTTTCAGTTCTAATATATCTTTTTAATCTGAGAAATAAGCTGTCCAGCACATTGAGTTAGTCTTCTAGTGATTTATATTCTAATAATCATAGTATAAAATGACAACCAAATGAACTTATGGGTATAAGCTACACTTTATTTCAGGTTGGGTGGAAACAAGGAGAAGATATGTATAGCTGCAGGGCTGGTGAGAAGGAAGAAGACTGAAAATACATGAACCAAAGAGCAGTGCTCTATTTAAAATAATTGCCCTAAAACTTCAACAGTAATTAAGATCCAACTTTTTAACCTTCCTGTATCTTTTATTTATAAGATCTAAACATGTATATCAGAGTAGATCGTGGCATGATTTGTTTTGACTAACTAATACGCACCATGATCTTGTCTTGCAACATCCTTTCTTTTCCATTATCTGGTTTCCCTCAGGCAGCAGGGATAGCAAACAGTGCTGAATTATGGATGAAAAGGATGGGCTAGCTATGGAGAGAGACCAAGGCTCATGTCTCCAGTTATGAATCAGCAGTATGAAAAGATTTAAATAACAAATAAATCCTAAGTCCTAGTTCAGACCTTCATAACAAATGGGGTTGTAAATTAAGAGTTAGCCCAGGTTTAAAGCATCTGAAATAATCTACAATTTCTCTTGATTCTGTTATTTCCACTCCAGCTCATCAGATAAAGT